CCGGATCTTCACGGGTCGTAATCAGTTATAAGCAACAATGATAAATCTGCTTAAAACCAATCAGACATGTTTTTTGTTAAAACAACCCTCAATGTTACAATTAAAGGATAAAGTGATTTTCTGTTCAGCTACATATTATATTTTAGTATTTAAGTTAAAGATTTAAGAAATTACATGTAAAGTAGTATTACAAATACCAAATTACAATACAAAGTCATCAAGATGAATTTTTATGTAAGTTTTGTATCAGAACCGGTTAACAGAACGATCATCGAGAGAAGTCGGTTATCAACATTCACTAAACACAGATAAGGGTCCGGTTGCAATAGGTAACTGCTTTGATAGGTTATGCCCAGAAGGTACTTGATCATGTGTGAGTGAGTGAGTTGAGTTTTACGCTGCACTCAGCAATATTCCAGTTATATGGCAGCGGTCTGTAAATAATCGGATCTGGACCAGACAATCCAGGGATCAACAGCATGAACATCGATCTACGCAATTGGGAACCGATGACATGTGTCAACCCAGTCAGCGAGCCTGACCACCCGATCCCGTTAGTCGCCTCTTACACCTGATCATGTACAACATATGACATGTGTGCGCAGGAGGTCCAAGTATTACCCCACAGCTTACTGCACGTCAATTGAATCAAATGTGTCAGTAATGATGGCACGCCACTGCTGGAATAATTAACGTTCATCATGTGTTGTGGCGAGACAGGGTTCAATACCGATATTCATGGCTAAACGAACAGAGTCTGGAGACATTGTTTTGTGGTCATTGACGTTGTGCAGCATGATTGTGTTGGGAGTAGTTTGGTATCACAATGAACTGAACTACGCCCCATATTACTCATGTAGGCATTATTGAAACCCCAATAGTTATCGTGCTATTGCTCGTTGTTCGTGTCATTGTTTCATCTTTCATGATGATAAAGCTCGTATGCCAGGATTGTGACCTTGTTCCTCCAAAAGCGAAACACCCCTACCACGCAATACCGCTCCCTCATTCAGATTTCTTTCAGATCACATCTGGGACTTTTCTGGTGGGCACTGATACGTGGAAGAACATGGGCCGACTCAAGACTAATACATCAACGTCCAAACGTACGCACAACACTCAGTACTGCTCTCATTGATGCGTGGAACAAGAACCAACTCGTGAGAGGCTTGTTTCTAATAATGTATATCTGGTCTAGTGATGTTGGATGCTAAGAAACAAAACAGTTCGAATTTACTATCTGATCGGCAGCGTACAAGCAGATATGGCCACATGCCTTCTATTTGGACCAGATGATGACGAAGACAAAGACTAATAATTCCTAATATCCCCTCTCTATCCCCTCACATTATAGTGTATTGATTTAGGACCTAGACGTGTACCTCTACGATGACCGCCACATTATAGTGTACTGATTTAGGACCTAGACGTGTACCTCTACGATGACCGCCACATTATAGTGTATTGATTTAGGACCAAGACGTGTACCTCTACGATGACCGCCACATTATAGTGTATTGATTTAGGACCTAGACGTGTACCTCTACGATGACCGCCACATGCAGGGTCGCATTAACTGAGTCGTCACAGTCATGCTTTTTGGTACCAACAGTGGACAGCCCAGGTTTGGAATCTCTGCATCGTCACTATTGTTTTACCGAGTCATCGATGGACAACTTCACAACAGCGTTAGTGATCTACAGTGATAGTTACTTGTTTACATATAAAGATTGCCACCAACTACGTAAAGTCCAACATTCAAGTCATTTAGAGAACGTGGAACCGTGATATACCCTGTATGCTACACTCATATCCAACAAAAGAAGAAGCAGAGAAGCGAAAACATAACCTACCGGCCTCATCAATACTGGATACTAAACCCGCGATACAAGTGTCCTCGACATTACGATACCAAGCATCTTGCAAAAAGAGTAAGTGAGTGAGTTAACATTTAACGTCACATCGGCAATAGCTCAGCCATATCGTGACGAAAACAATATAAACAATAAAAAAGAAAACATTTTGGAGAGTAAAACCTGTCGACGATGGACAGTAGAAATACTAGAGTATCACAGATATGAACATAAAACTAGCATGTAAAACTAAAGGATTTTAATTAAAGAAGACAATACAATATAAAACACGGGCTATAGATCGCCAACAACTGAAGGTAGGTCGCCATACTAGGAACCATGGGGACTTACGTTACTTTTGCTACCTGCATGGAACCTAGCTGGATTTACAACATCCCTTCAGCCGCTGGCGATGGTAGGAAGATTTAGCCGAAATTAAAATCACAAAAATACTACGATTAAAAGGTATGGTTGAGCGAAATTGACTTTGAAAGTGTATGGGACTTACGTACCTCTTGCTCTTGCAAAAAGAAGGACTCAACGGATCAGGCAGTGGGAAACGCTCATTATAAAAAAAAAATTATGTTGTGGATAACGTTGATTATAATGATTTTACTCACCTAAACTCCAACAAGCACTTCACATATAACATAATGGTGAGGATCTTCAAAAGACTTCCGTGTCCCTTAAATATCTTGTTGTTGTTGTTGTTGTTGTCTAACGCCGCACTCAACAATAGTCCAGCTTATGGCGGTTGTCTCTTAACCCCCTTGATGTCGAGGTTTTTTTCAGGCGCACATTTTCATACGGTTTGAAAAGTGAACGTTGTGCGAGATTTGCGCTCGCGTGGTCCTGGATCTACGTACGGCTATAAAATTGCACAGAAATGTAGAATATTAAATTTCCTATCCGTTGGTATAAATATAAGTGCAACTACCTCGGCGGTTTGAGAAATAGACACTGCTAAATGTTGTCCAAATTTTTGTTATGCGTTAAAAAACAGTAAATTTCTCCGCTTTTTATCGCGCACCGATAAAAGCACTGTGCTACGATTTTTTTATTTTCGCATCTTTACGGAAAGTGTGAGCGAAGAAAATACAGCCTGATATCTGAACGACATAAGTGTATATGAAATGGATTTATGTGCTTATGCATAACATTATACGCTCAACATTAAAAATGGCTCGCAATAAATGTCAAAAAATGGATTTTCTTCTACGACGTCAAACGACGACAGAGAGGTCATACACGTATAATGATACGGGGGCATAACTCCGTTATGCTTAACACTAGGTCAATGTAACTCAGATCATATGGAGCGTATTTGTTGTGGATACTGACGCTATATTTTCGTTATTTTTTGTTAACGGTGAACTAAACTATTCCAATTCAAAGTTCCCCAATGTGAGCGGATACGCTTTGGTAGTTTCACAATTTATAAGAAAAGATGACAACGTACTACATGTGAAAGCATGTAATAGCGATTTGGATGGCCCTATCCTATATATAAGTCAGTTCTTAGATTCCCATATTCTCCTGTTTGTGTAGATGTATTTTGACTAATTTTGCATCGTTATTACCAGAATACTAGCCATATCTTCAAATGTAATGAAATTGCTGAAAATAATACAACATTTTAGTTGACGTCATTGCTTGTTTAATGCATTTTGCGACGTCGGAAAAAGACGACATTGGTATGCTGATTAGTATATATCTCAACTAATTTCCATAAATTGTGTGAAACTCTCGGCTTCTTTGTCAGAATTAACACTCTTTAGACAAAACATAAAATGACTGTTTTTTCAAATTAGACAGTTTGACTGTGTACCTTTTCATGAGCAACACGCGCACCTGTTTGGCATCAATTTAACGTAAATGAAAAATAACATTTCACAACACCTGAATATTTTGTTTAGGATAGGAATTTTATTTATTTTTGATTATGTAGCTAATTCTCTTCATACGTATGCAATGGAAGATGCAAAAAAGATAGCTTTTTATATATGGAACTAGTACGTACTATATATTAGAATATGGGTGTAAGATTTGTCCAAATTAAGACATGACATGCTTTATGCATTTTTAAACAATTCTCGTATAAATATAGTTAGAGTTTGATATCCTGTCATCACAATATTTTTAAATCGAATATGAATTGATTATATTATCGAAAACAATGATAGTGAATCATAAAACGTTTCCGACACAATATGATTTGAATGACGTCACCGCTGCTGCCGACGCAACAAAACAATTGTGTGCGATATTTGTACGTGTCAATATACAGTGAATAGTCTTGCAATTGCCAGGAATCGAATATCATTCGATCATGTTTATTTTAACCAATCGGATTAAAGAACACGGTGACTTTTGGTGTACAGCCTCGATTCACCCTGATTGTTTCTACGTTTGTCTGCACCATGTCCCGTCCTCGAGGGATCAGTACAGATGTAAACACCCGAGACCTGCGTCACCTCGAGCTTTCGTCACCCATCAAGCGGACATGTCACAGATATAGGGATACTGTTAAACCTGACTTCATACATTTGTCTTTAACGCACATGTTTATATATTAGATTATCCTCCTCAACACTTCTGATAATAGCTTATGTTCAATTAGTTTTCTCATATTTAACGGAAACGAACCTCTACTATAAAAATGTAAATCAGGTTTTCCTCTGACGACTGGGCTACATATACCCTTGTACAATTATGATACTCAAAACCACTGTGAACTATTTCCAGAAACTGCGATGCAATGTGCCGCACGAATATAAATACATCTTGGTATGCATGTAGAGAGCATGTCCGTGATATCAACGTCATCATTTCACAACCGTTTGTATTAGTATGCATGAGGCACTTATTGGCTGTATTTTCCAACCTTGGAAGTTGAAACCACACTGAAACCATGACGTTCATGTAGTTGTGCCCCAGCTTAGTGTCGCAAGCAACACCAGAAACTTCAGTTCGATTGTCGTTACATTTCCCATTTGCTCACACAGCTGAAACTTATTTCAGTGGACAGGTACGTTTGTATTTGAACAATACCCATCACTCACCCATTAATGACATTCTCATTTATCTGATAATTGAAATCAGAATAAATGCAGTATTATGATGATTTCAGGACAGCGATGCCATTCAGGCTATACTGAGTGTAGCGCTGACGCTTATGTCAACACAAGGTAACGTGTATGTTCATTTGATATTTTGCTGTAGATAAACAAAAACATTGACATATATAGTAAAGCCGGAAGACATTTTGTGGTTCCAGTGAATAACATTCTTTTGGTAGCAATGCAATTCAGTGTTTCACTGGCGACGTTTGTGCACGTGACTGTTGTCTTTCTTGAGTGTAAATTATTTGCTGATCCAGTATTTACTAAGAATGTTCGGATTTCTTAACATTTTATCCCACGTCACATTTTGTCCAAAGCGATAGTCAGTTGTTCTGAAAAAATATTAGCTGAGTATAATTCTTGGGATATCATAGGTTTACATATTTGTCGTTCTTGTATACTGAACGGTCGTCAATGTTGAAGTTCAGGTAGAAACCTAATGCCGTCATAATCTAATCTCGACAGAAGGACCAGCCCTTTTGTTCGAGTAACAGAACTGAATTGGGAAACTGTCTTAGAGATTTAATGGATGTGTATGATATTAGAGATAACCTCGAGCGCTGGGGTTTAAAACAGTCATTAATATGAATATTTATCTAAAATTGTAATTACTATTTGAAAGTATAGTCAAACATACGAAATTACTTTCTACAATGAACCTATCTTCATTTACAGCGGATAAGTGCACGGAGGACCAACACTGCTCAAACTGCTCAAGTACAACACAATACTGCAGTACAGATTGCTTTTCAGGGTATTTTGGCCTAAAATGCAAGTCCCGTTGCAGCAAACAATGCATCAACAGTAAATGTAGTCAGACACTGAGGGGCACTTATAGTTGTTCTGACGGCTGTGTACCTGGTTTCTATGGTACTCGATGCAATATCCCGTGCACACTTCCGACGAAAAGGTGCACAAAATGTCCTCAAGGATGTGATGGAACGTTCTGCTATCTGACAACATCTTGTGTTTCTGGATGCCATGACCAATACTATGGGTTCAACTGCAAGAATTGTTCACCCAGATGTCGACAATGTAACAGGATAACAGGCAGATGTGATGTGTGTCATAATCCATATCATGGCCTGGACTGTGAATACTCATGTGAACATTGTTCAACAACTGATTGTGTACAGACATGCGCACCTGGATTTTATGGACGTACATGCTCTTTAAGATGCCACAAATATTGTTTGTCTTATCCTTCCACTATCACTAATGACTCTTTGACAAGTAACAGTTCCACCTCGTGCATATCTGAATGTCAAAGATATAGTGGAGATTGTATAAATGGTTGTGCAGATGACTGGTCTGGTCCATACTGTTCCTCACCTATTAAGTGTAACCCAAACTGTTTGGGTTGCAATGAGACGGGTGCCTGTGTTGAAGGATGCATGTCTGGTTACTATGGAGACGACTGTAAGCCTTGCCCGGGAACCTGTTTTAATTACACCTGCTACCGAAACAACGGGTCTTGCGACAATGGATGTATCCAAGGACAATATGGACAATCCTGTCAACTACCCTGCATAAACTGTCCGGGAGGTGTCTGCCATCCAAGCACTGGGATATGTATTCAAGGTAAACGTTTAATTAGGTCAACGACTAAACAAAAAAGCAATGTCCCTACCTTCCTGAGTTATTAGTATTTGGCCGTATCTCAGTATTAATGATACTGAATAGACAGTACTTGTTCAGGAATAATTAGATCGAAAATACGTTACATACCTCACCCCATGCTGGGTCAGAATTTGAATGATTCCACAGCCTGCTACAATTAAGTTATAATTGATATGTTTCAGGAAGCACCGTGCATGTTGTGGGACTAGGACTATCGACAGGATGTGTAATTCTTATAGTTTGTACTGTTTGTATATTTGTGTTTCATCTTCGTCGTCGTCGCCAAACTACAGAAAGGTTGGTATAAATCTATTTATTAAAAAAAGTATGTTAAATTTATCACATTATTGTTACATCGTAGAATAAGATCTCTTATTTAGCATTCCTAAGACAAATGCATGTGCACTCTGGAACTATGATCGTAATCTGTCATGGTATCTCAGACAAAATGTATTTTTATCAATATGATAATGATAAAAACAACTTACATACAAAAAGTTATTTGCATGCTTGACAAATCTGTTGGGATTATGAATGGGAGTTTGCACTAAAACGTATGGAATACCACAAGTTCCAAAACATATTAATTTCTGAATGTAAACACTATTTTCAAACAACCCGTGTGATACCTTTTATTAGTGATCAATGGTAACCTGTTGCAGTACTAAGAGTGTATATTTTCAGGAATCACCAAAGAAATGAGTCGATACATACAGAGCGATCAGGGCAACTGGAAACAGGAGAGTACTACCCAGTGCATCGGTACTGGGATATAGATGATTATGATGAAGTATCTCAGCAGCAAGGACAGCAACAAGTACCGGTAAAGGAAGAAGATTACGATGTAGAATCTCAGCGGCAAGGGCAGCTACAAGTACCGGTAAAGGAAGAAGATTACGATGAGGTATCACAACGGCAAGGGCAGCAACAAGTACCGGTAAAGGAAGAAGATTACAATGAAGTATCTCAGCGGCAAGGGCAGCAACAAGTACCGGCAGAGGAAGAAGATTACGATGAAGGATCTCAACAGCTAAGACAACATCAAGGACAGGCAGAGGAAGAATACAACAGTGACCCTGCACTTCCTGCTTTGGCCGACTGCTTTCCTGGGCCACATGGCAGTGAAGATGATGACAGTAACCCTGTACTACCTGTGTTGGCGGATTACTTTCCCGGGGCACAGGGTACAGAAGACAACAATGATGGTGACACATCACATAGTTCAGCGAGTGGTTCCCAGTCATACACTCCCTTAATGTGGGATGTGTTTGTTGATGATCCGTGAACTGTAGTCACGTATATATCACCAACTGAAGACAACATATAGAGTAGCAATGGATGCTTTTTTAGTGCTTTTTTTTGGTTTGTTTTTTTATTCCATTTCAAGTCTCACATAAAATACATATGGCAAAGAGGTCAACATCAAAATATATATGAATATAGCTTCAGTGATGTTTTGCAAGGTTTTATATGACATAAAAGACAGTATTGCAAACATATACACACTATGGATGCTTAATTACTCAAGTACCGAAACATCACTTTGAAAGTACGCGAGGCTTTAACCTAGTTTTTAAACCGTATCCTTGCAGAAATCCGTCATCTCTGTTTGGTGATCGGCCGTTGGACTGCCGTCCTTTGTGGTGCTTTCAGTAGCCTTCATGATTATTAATTGTAAATTTTCTTCACTAGCTTTTTATTCTTAGATTTTAGTATGTTATCGCTTATGTTTTCAAAACGCATTCACCGTTAAACGTGCTTAAGTAACTTTGATGTTCATTCGACAATGGGATTAGTTTGTTCAGTATAGAAATTTCTCATGCATTCATTGTCATCTGAGGCGCCCTATGAATTGTACATATCTGGCTGTAAAGGTGCTTCAGTTAGGGGTTGTATGCTTAATACTTCATTTTAATACCTAAATCTCAGATATTGGTTCGGTAATTAGTTTACTACTCGTGTTTTCCGGATAATTCACGCCGATGTGTTAGGGGTTGGTTGATATTATGCATTTGTTAGTGATCAGACACTTTTGAGTTCCTTTTGTTAACTAAATCACCCGACAATAATAAAATTGTAAATTTTGAGTATCTTATCCTCTGGCATTATTATTATTATTTTTTTTATATTACAGTTAGTCAGTGAGTTTAGTTTTAGGCCGCACTCAGCAATATTCCAGCTATATGGCGGAGTTATATATTATAAATATACAATACATACTTGTATATACGCATATACTTAAACACAAACCGATATATACACTATCATATACACACGGACATACAAGTGTGAAATGGAGTGATTTTGAAATGTAAGTCGGAAGGTCATTCATTCCCGTCGCAATTATAAAACATACAATATGATATTGCGCTCGTAACTGTCGTCCTAGGTGTTTTGAAACTCTTTTTTGCATTGCCCACAACCGTGGAGATCCAGGTTAGAACTGATCTTCAATCATCCATGTTTGTCGTAAGAGGCGATAAACGGGATCACTGGATTGTTGTTGATCAGATTCTCTGGTTCAGACTCGATTCTTGACAGACCGCCGCCACATTTCTGTTTCTGAAACGCTGATGTGACGTGAACTGTGTCTTTCAGGAAACTCGTAAGCACAAGACTGACATCGAATTATTTGTAATTTCTGCAGAAATGTAGTGCATGTTTTACCTATTATAGTACACTTTGTGATTACCATCCAATAAATATACTGAAGTCACAGTAACGCAATTCCCATTCTTACTCACAACGGTAATATCACGCCACTGTACAACGTCACGTCACAACGTTGTGACAACGTAAATACAAAGAATATAGTTGTAGCAACAAAAGCACAACATCGTGAAAACGTGGTGACAATGGGAAGTTGTTAGCTGGGTAGCTAGAATATTGCTGAGTGCGGCGTAAAAGTAAACTCACTCACCGTATGACCAAGAACACATTAGAGCAAAGCATGAATGAATGTGATTATAATAGGAAGGTAAAACAGTAAACCAATGTGACAAACATTTTGACATCGACGAAACATATGGTACTGGATGTCCATACTGACCAAAGTTAAGTGAAGGTAATATAGTGTGAACATTTCAATAAGTTGAAAACGTATTCGGGTTCAGTTTCTGAATCACAAGCATCTAGGACACGGTATCGCTCACGGCGGTGAGAGGAACATGAAACGCGGTAATTCTACCCCGACATGTTGGTTATTCATACATTAATGCAGAGTATGTTGATGGGTCCGTGAACTAGCTTTCATACTTAGCTCAATGATCAATACATCATATACTTGAGACCGTATAAGCAGTGGCGGATCTAGAGGGGAGGGGGTGGGGGCTACTAAAAAATCCTGGATCCGCCCCAGAATAAAACGCCTAACGATATTTTACATCTTCTTTATATACTAGTGGAATATAGTAAGTATGCATTATTTGATGTTATGCCATTCTGTAATGCAAAATGATAATAACATGTTTTGTAGTGTTTTCTTTAATCACTGTTTAACTGTTCACTGTTATATCGACATTTGTACGATTTGACACTAGGCATCATTATACGTCCTTGAAGAGATGTGGTGTCAAAAGTCAATTAAACATTCAGTATCGTATCTGTCCACCACTGGCGTTGATGCATGTTTGACAACGACGACGGATAGACGACACAAAGCGATTAAAGAATGCTTGGGGATGTTGTCCTATGTCTGAAACAACACTTGTCCCAATTCAACTAAATTCAATCGCTGATTCTGGGCCTAACGTAAACGTCGCTCCATTTCCACCCAAGCGTGATGCCCCTCCTCCCCCTACCCGCTTCCATAACGACGCTGCCACTACCTTTGCCATGCCATCTGATCTGTCAAGATGAAATCTCGACGCGTCAGTGAACCAAACGCTATCCCAAGCTTGGATCCTTCACCGCAGATACTGTGTGCCCCAGGCAAGACATGCCTTTCCTTAAAACTGGACGTATTGCAGGCCGTTGGTGTCGGCTGTTGTGCTCCACCAGTAGGTTCTGTACAGTCCTGGAACTGATTGGACGTAAGCCAGGAATGGACGGAGCAGTGAAACTGGCAGCCAGGAATCGATTCCTTAGATGGGTCACTTGAATGTCGTCTTTTTATGTTATGCTCAGTTACCTATTTCCATTACTGGCGAAATGACACATTGGATGTTTTGGATAATCGAAAACTGTCTGTCATATAATTATGTAGATATTGGCGAATTTGTTTATGTATTCAACATCGACGTATATAGGGGGGTCTACCACTGCTAAAATATGAGTTTTATGAACATAGTCACGTAAGGATTGATTTTACTGAGAGATATAACAGCTACACCCGTCTTCACACACGGAGACAATGTATCGGTACACTAGATTGAAACCCCTATTTAAGAAACATTATAGTGAGAGTACGAGGACGCTTGTGACCAAGAGCTTTCACGTTAGGATAGTTCGGGGCAAAACTGCACTTTATTACACTATACATGGGGTAGGGCAAACTGTATTCCTTTTCTGAGACGTCAAATACTTACCGACGATTCATCCAAAGCAGAACAAACAGAAAAACGGGGCAAGCAGGCAAACTGACTAGCTGTTCTATTGACGTGTCTGCCCGCCTACGTTAAACGCACGTTACCAAGAAAACAACTGATGAACAATTTGAAGACGGATTACGTTTGGGTGAACTATCTTCTACATAGTATTTTAACATCATTTGAGATTATCGTAAACCATATGGGTCAATATTAATGTAACATTTACACTTCCAATATAAGATTAGATCAGTTCATTCAGATGAAACTGATCAGTCACGCGACGTTCCACGGATGCATTGTGGGACAAGGCTTTGGTAGCAACCGTTGCCGTGTCGATGTCGAGTCGAGCTGAAACAATTTGTCGCTGAACAAGTTAAACGTTTTGATTCCATCGGCGATGTTAGCCAAGTGGACGTCAAATGACATTTATCGTTACGTCAGCTACCAGGTGTACGTTTGATTACGAGGAGGCAGACTAGAATGGCGTAGTGACGTCAATACATTGTGACGTAATGTAAAATGTGTCCTTTTGTCATCTGATAAAGTACCATTGGCGCCTTTGATCTTTAAGCGAAGCATCTTAGAGTTAGCCATATATTTTCATATCATATTATGCTTGTTTGTGGATTTTAACCATTCGGACGTATTGATTTGACATATGCATGATCTACGATCAAAGGCGAGTACGTGCAATACGTGTAACCGTCATTCATTAAACATGAAGTTTCAGTTCTCACAGCCCGGTTTCCTTCACAATTAACAAATATGGGGCCTCCTCAACTGACAATTGACAACAAATAGGCACATAGTTGGTACCCGGGATATAAGTGAAGGCTATTACAAGAGATGTTGTCATCTATGTTCATTGAGAGCGACTATAAGGATGTTACATGCACTATACTTACCTAGAGAAATGCATTGAGATAACGTGATTTGCTCGCTTTAGTAGTGAATACCACAAACACTATATCTACGTTGAGAAAAGCAGCGAGAAAACGTAACATCATAAAGGATACTATATTTTAGAATAGGAATGTCCTTCTAAAAAAATGATATTATCATATTTACCATATCAACGATGATATATTGTTCTTTATTTGACCAGTCAGGTTTTACCTCTGACGACTAGGCTACATATACCATTATATTATTCTACTCAAAACCACTGGGATATTTCCAGAAACTGTGATGTAATGTGCGGTACGAGTATAAATACATCTGAGAAAGCATGCAGTGAACATGTCCGTGATATCAATCTCACCATCTCACAACCGTCAGTATTAGCAAGTAGGAGGCTCATATCGGCTGCATATTCCGACCTTGGCCACGGGAAGTTGAAACCACACTGAAACCATGACGCTCATGTAGTTGTGCCCTAGCTCAGTGTTGCCAGCAACACCAGAAACTTAAGTTCAGTAGTCTTTCCACCTCACATGTGCCCACACAGCTGAAAGTTATCTCAGTGGAAAGGTACGTTTGTGTTTGAACAACACCCATCACTCACCCATTAATGACATTCTCATTTATCTGATAACTGAAATTACGAAACGTATGATTCTGAGGCTTACTTAAATGCTGTATTATGTTAATTTCAGGACAGCGATGGATATTCAGGTTATACTGAGTGTAGCGCTGACGCTTTTGTCAACACGAGGTAACTTTATATTCATTTGGTATTTTGCTACAGTTAAACAAAGATATTCACATTTGTAGTAAAGACGGATGAGTATTTTTGACAGTGTCGAAATATTTCCGACCGCCTGTATTGTGTCAATTTACTGATTTGAGTTAATTTCTAGTGCAATGCTGCAGCATAAAACAGTAATATGAATATTTCTCTAATCTTGAATTTAAACGTATAGTCAAACATACGAAATTACGTTCTACAACAAACCTGTCTTTTTTACAGCGGATAACTGCATGGAGGACCAACAGTGCACAAACTGCTCAAGCTCAACACAATACTGTATTGCAGATTGCTTTTCAGGGTATTTTGGCCTAAAATGCAAGTCCGGTTGCAGCAAACAATGCATCAACAGTATATGTAGTCAGACGCTGAGTGGCACTTATAGTTGCTCTGAAGGTTGTGTACCTGGTTTCTATGGTACTCGATGCAATATCCCGTGCACACTTCCGACGAAAAGGTGCACAAAATGTCCTCAAGAATGTGATGGAACGTTCTGCCATCTGACAACATCTTGTGTTTCTGGATGTCATGACCAATACTATGGGTCCAACTGCAAGAATTGTTCACCCAGATGTCGACAATGTAACAGGATAACAGGCAGATGTGATGTGTGTCATGATCCTTATCATGGCGTGGACTGTGAATACTCATGTGAACATTGTTCAACAACTGATTGTGTACAGACATGCGCACCTGGATTGTATGGAAGTACATGTGTTCCAAAAGATGCAGCCAAAACCTGCCAAGCTTACCCCTGCAAACAGTAGCACTTTGACAAGTAACAGTTCCACCTCGTGCATATCTGAATGTCAAAGATATAGTGGAGAGTGTATAAATGGTTGTGCAGATGACTGGTCTGGTCCATACTGTTCCTCACCTATTAAGTGTAACCCAAACTGTTTGGGTTGCAATGAGACGGGTGCCTGTGTTGAAGGATGCATGTCTGGTTACTATGGAGACGACTGTAAGCCTTGCCCGGGAACCTGTTTTAATTACACCTGCTACCGAAACAACGGGTCTTGCGACAATGGATGTATCCAAGGACAATATGGACAATCCTGTCAACTACCCTGCATAAACTGTCCGGGAGGTGTCTGCCATCCTAGTTCTGGGATATGTGGTAAGTGCAGTGCATTTCTATATGTTATTTCTTCTTTGAATGCAAATCATGATTAGTTCTGAGTGTAAGGCAAAGTGTCACCTGTGATTGTTCCCACAGCTGTTACTGTTCTTTATGTTCCAGAATGATATATGTCCGTACACGTGTCATCCTCTGGCGTTGACGCTTTATGTTTACTTGAACTGGGTCATCATTTCTGCTGTTTGACGGAAGCTCCCAGTTTCCCCATAATCTCAGCAGCAACTGATCAAATTACAAATGAAGTGGTTGTTGCCTTTAATTTCTTTCCACCTATGCCAAACCGTCTATGGTGCACTGTGTTGCAACTTATTTAATATATGGTTCAAAACACCATCGTTTCTTTTCTTGATGTACTAGGTGCCTTCTTGTGACAGGAGTAGTATTGTAAGGCGTCAGGTTTGTTTCATGAAAGCTCTGCTACTGGTAGCGAAGTGCGGGGCGGTGGGGTAGCCTAATGGTTAAAGCGTTGGCTCGTCACGCCGAAGACCCGGGTTCGAATCCCGACGTGGGCACAATGTGTGAAGTCCATTTCTGGTGTCCCCCGCCGTGATGTTGCTGGAATATTGCTAAAAGGTTCGTAAAACCAAACTCAGTCAGTCAGTCGGTCAGTCAGGTAGCGAAGTGCGCTCTTACTATTTCCGCGAATGCCTAGTATCAATACTGAGTTTTACTGATCCATGTATACATTTGATTTATATAGCTGTTCCCACCCGATCGAAGCTGTTTCGGCTGACCCTTTACTCACTGATGTCGATTTTGTTACAATTTTTCAACTATAAATTAAAATAACATATATGCTACGATTAGAAATAGTAGCAGGTTTAAAATAACTTTGAATGTTTTTGGAGGAGGACAATAATTTTGTAATACTTCAATCCCCTTTACTGGTACAGTCACTAACAGTCTCAGTTACTAATCTAAACAACCAATAATAAAAGAGTACTAAGAATAAAGAGTTAAATATAAAATGGTTATCCTATAGATATATTATTCCCGTCTGAATGAAAATATTATTTCTAAATCCTTTACTCAGAGTTAAGAATAATGAAGATTATATTTCATTCGTTTAGGATGCGACAATTTATATATAGCAGTTTGGCCTATATTCATTTGTATCAGACTTTCTATATGTACTAACAACCAAAAAGTATCTAAATGATAGTATGGTGAAACCAATTAAACGGACACAATTACCAGCTCCGAATTAAAAGCTGAAAACATGCAAACACAGATTCAGTTCATATGAGTTTCTCTCCTCTTTTGTTCAGATCAGAGTGAGTGAGTAAGTATGGTTTAACGCCGCTTTTAGCAGTATTCAAGCAACATCACGGCGGTGGACACCAGAAATGGTCTTCACACATTGTACCAGTGTGGAGAATAGAACCCGGGTCTTGGCGTGAAGAGCGAACACTTTAACCAATAGGTTACCCAACCGCCAGATCAGATCAGAGTCCATGAATGAAGACACATTTGGAATTTGAAATACGGGAATGTATTCATTTTATATCAGACTTTGCATTTGTAGTTGCAACTCAAAATTATCATCTGTACAACCAGGCACACTTATGTACTCTGAAGTGTGAATTAATTTACGAAATAATTTGTCATCTCTAATTTAAGAAAGCATGCAGACATAGACTCGGCTGATACAATTCATACCTGTTTTGATAACTGTTTTGTTTAACTACCTTTTTCAGAGTCTGTCCAGAGTACCATAAATGACTGGACTATTGGAACAACGACTGCACTGCTGGTTTTGGTCTTCGGAATTATTGTGACAGGGTGCATTGTTCTCTTCAAGAGAGTCTCCGCAAAGAGGTCAGAATTTACACCCAGTTGACGTGGTGCGCCAATGCCAAACAGACCATAAGCTAATATTTTATCAGATAAGATTATATGTAACGACTTTGATTTTCATGATCAATATTTCAACAGTTTTACTGCAACAATGCCATGTTACATCATTATTTGGTTTGTAAATTGATTTTAAGAACTCTTCTAAATAGACTCTTCATATGCTAGTGCAGTATATGATTTACACATGCTATTTCTGTTCCAGAGAGGAATCCCACCAGATGGCAGACATCTGTCCACAACGTGATCCAAACAGACAGGGCAGCTCATCTAGGAGGTTCCGAAACTCAGAACATATCTACAGTGATGTCAACGAAGGCGAAATGGGACCAGTCATCGTTTTCCTATAAGTTTACATAACAAATGTCAGACCTAATTTAATTGTCTGTCGATATATTTGCAGACGTTGCAGAGCCATATTCCAAGTGATCAACACGTACATTTTTCACTGCTACGTATCCATTTCACGTTCAAAGGAATATGATACGGATAGTCAAGCCTTGTTATTCTCTGGTGTTCACGTTCTATGTATTATCATTAACCACAGTGTGCCATAACTTCAGTCTTTGGTGTCTACAAATCACAACGTTTGAGGCACATTCAAATGTGTCGTGTCTACGAAGATTTCAAAGTGCGTCTTGCTCAAGTGTAGTTTGGTCACAGGCTGCATCATGAAATGCCTTATGTTGGCCCGATGTAACACGCTAACTCGGTTAGCATATATTGTGATAAGAGACTAATCTTTGTCCTATGGTCTCGTTTTTTATACAGTTGCAGTTTTTTGTTCTGATAATAAAAATGCTTTTTCGTATTTTTGTTCCAAGCATAATGGATCCGTTAACATTGGCTTTGATAATTTGTATAATTGGTGCTTGAAAAGATTTATCAATGCGTATCCATGCTAAAGCATTAGTGTCTACCTCCACATTATGCAGTCACGCCTTCTGAGTGGTGAATCCTACTGTTTGTTTGTGTGTTTGGGTTTTGCTTAGCGCCGCACTCAACAATTCCCGCTGGATCTCACCATCTGTAAATAATCTCGACACGAAAACAATGACAGGACACATGAGCATGGATCAACGCAAATAGGATACAATGACATGCATTAACAGGTCAGTGAACCTGACCACTCGATCCTCATAGCTGCCTCGTATGACAAGCATGGGTTGCTGAAGACCCATAGGTTCCAATACTCCATTGATACGGGTCTTGTGCCAATATCACGACGTTTCTTTTTGTCTTTAAGTATATATTGTCCTCTACATACCAACTAATCTGTTATGCAGATCGGCGATTGTTGAGACGAGGTAAAACCAACCTGGGCCTCCTTTCACGATGCAGTAAGGTGATCGTAAGTCACTGAGGTAAACTTAATGCAATGTTAAAGAATGGGAATTAAGGTTAACCTTAGTAAAGGTTGTTTCGTGAAAGGAGCCCCTGGTAGGTAACACCTTACCAGATTAACTATATGTATATTATAAATATATTTACTATAATATTTCCTTAAATATACCTACAGTATGTTTTTTTACTATTTGTAGAATTGTATTAATATTGTGTAACACTGTAACTTCTGGTATAGTTGAGAGGTGTTCAACTACATGTAGGTTTATTTTATAGACATAATGAGTACTTTAAACGTGTACATATTTATTACATTCCATTTTATATATTTCCTAGTGTTCTTTCAGGCTGTTTCACACATAGATCTATAATAAACCATTCGGCCTCACAACCCACAGCCGTTTGTATTTGTTCTTAGTACACTAACAAAGCGCTGTTAAATGTATTACGAATTATGCTATATCCAACGGCCAGCCCGTCAATCGCGGGGCGGGTTATCAATACATTAGCTGCTCGTGTCGACCTGTAGGGAGAGTGTACAAACCCGGATAATCACACAAGAAAGGACAGGCTTGAATCACATTACAGATATTGCTGCAGTCAACTGGGACGCTACTGACGTGAACAGAAACTATCTGTGTTGAAGTGAAACTTTGGTAAGCAGCCTTACACTTTTTGTTTTCATTCTAAAACCGACGAAGCCGGCAATTATATGACTTATCACAGTTGAGTTGTACTCTACTAGCTTGAAGCTGTTCAAGTATCTATCATACTCCGAGGTAGTTTGTGTATGCTAGGCGTTAACACTCTACTAGCTTGAAGCTGTTCAAGTATCTATCATACTACGAGGTAGTTTGTGTATGCTAGGCGTTAACCCCTGGATTTCAGAGGGACATGTATGTCCCTTGTCTTCGACATATACCATGCACATGATACCTGTTAGGAATCACCGACTGTCTCTGGCAAAGCAGCCTCTGGGTAGTTTGTGTACATCACTATGTATCAAATCTTCTGAATTTTTAGAGATCCAAGACCATGACATTCTAGTCAGATGTTTAATATTAAAGACTGTGAAGCGGGAGTCAGTATCGGTCGCTTCTCAAGTTCAGAGTGACACTTTGAAATGATGTCACATGTTTTTTTCTCATTTCATTGTCTTGCTGTTTTCGTGCACACGCCATTTTCTGACAGCAGACACCAACACGACGCTGTTATTCACATAACAGAATCTTGTTAACCAAACGGAATTAATTATTTGTCGTAGTGGTTAGTGTTTTCTTTGTGATATCTGTTTCAAACTAAATTAAATTCACAAACATTTCGCCTGGTTCAGTATCATGTGATACGTACGTGATTGTTAAAAGTTATGTTTATCCGTTGAACGTTTTTCTTACAGTATTAACATCAGAAATTGGCACTTTCAGTACACTGTATGTATAATCTCTAGACATGTGTTAGAAGATGAAACATGTACGTCTCTATGAAGTGTAATAATCAATATTCCAATTCGTATGAACAGGTCAGTATATCTGATTTTATGACGAAATGACTCATAAATCGTTAAGAAAGTGATTAATATATTTCGTTAAGTGTACATGCAAACGCACATATATTAAGAAGTGTCTTGGTCATGGATTTTGTATATCGATTTATCGACAGAGCAATTATGTCTAATGGTTTGCCAGAAACGTTTCACGATTTACTCATTCTTTTCTTTCTGAAACTGTACGTGATTTACCACACAGTGACTTACGTTAAATTTCTGTCAACCGGATGCCTGTGTTGTCCACATTTACAAACACAGTAAGCCTATCTCTTAGTTTATCTATTCAGGATAGTATTCAAGTGATCATTTCTTGTTCAGTCAAAAGAGTGTCCAGTTCCGACTAACAACCGAGATTTGGTATACTTTGAACGAAAATAAGGCATACTTCTCAACATGTCGATGTTGTCCGTTCTGACCAACAAACCGAGATTGTGTATACTTTGAACGATAATAAGGCATACTTCTCAGCATGTCAATGTTGTCTTGTTCTGACCAACAAACCGAGATTGTGTATACTTTGAACGATAATAAGGCATGCTTCTCAGCATGTCAATGTTGTCTAGTTCTGACCAACAAACCGAGATTGTGTATACTTTGAACGATAATAAAGCATACTTCTCAACATGTCAATGTTGTCTTGTTCTGACCAACAAACCGAGATTGTGTATACTTTGAACGATAATAAGGCATACTTCTCAGCATGTCAATGTTGTCTTGTTCTGACCAACAAACCGAGATTGTGTATACTTTGAACGATAATAAGGCATACTTCTCAACATGTCAATGTTGTCTTGTTCTGACCAACAAACCGAGATTGTGTATACTTTGAACGATAATAAGGCATACTTCTCAACATGTCAATGTTGTCTTGTTCTGACCAACAAATGAGATTGTGTATACTTTGAACGATAATAAGGCATACTTCTCAACATGTCAATGTTGTCTTGTTCTGACCAACAAACCGAGATTGTGTATACTTTGAACGATAATAAGGCATACTTCTCAGCATGTCAATGTTGTCTTGTTCTGACCAACAAACCGAGATTGTGTATACATTGAACCATAATAAGGCATACTTCTCAACATGTCAATGTTGTCTTGTTCTGACCAACAAACCGAGATTGTGTATACTTTGAACGATAATAAGGCATACTTCTCAACATGTCAATGTTGTCTTGTTCTGACCAACAAACCGAGATTGTGTATACTTTGAACGATAATAAGGCATACTTCTCAACATGTCAATGTTGTGTTGTTCTGACCACCCCTTGGTGGTAGGGTGAAAATGATGTCGGAGTTGTACGGATAAAGTGTTGGTGCAGATATTGTTGGATCTTTGAAGAGCCGGGCTCCCAAATTCTAAACAGAAGGCATATATTTCAGGGCGATTTCTTTAGTCCTCTGCTCTTTCAACTCATCTTACTCAGAGTGGATAGCATTGACCGTCATCGCAAGAATATAACAGATTATCCGTCAACCCATGCTAATTTTGTGAAGCACATCTCAGCTGTGTGTTTAAGAAATAGGTACATTTCGTTTATTTACCGGTGATCTGCCATAGGACTTGTCATCGCTAAGACATGTGGATGTATGGAACAATTGTGCTTTTATGTTGTAAGTAACTTTGAATGTTTGAATACGTATTCGCCCATGTCACCCTACTTGCAACAGATAACCATAACTGAATGTAATATGTACAATATGCAATATGATCTGCAGTGAATGTAATAGAAAGCATACAATTCATATGTGTACGTTCGGGTCACAGCTGTATAATCAGAAGGAAATAACAGTCACCGGTTAGCAGGTTGAACTGTGTTTGTAATAATGGTATTTAAACTGGTTTATTTCAAAATGGAAATGTCACATCAATCAGTATATTCAACGTGGTATATTTCAAAAGTATAACGCTGTTTTTGTGGTTACAACTTCATAGACAGTGATATAAGTTTTCTCAAGCGAAAGTTGACTTAACCATAGATAGAGCAGGCAGACAATTGAGATGGTTGCACATCTGGTGTTATATGTCTACACCCCCCATCCCCAACCCATCCCCACCCACCCCCAACAAAATAACAACAACAAAACAAAACAACAACATTAAAACAAAAACAATCAAAAACACAAAAACAAAAAGCAAAAAGCAAAAAACAAAAAAGCAAAAAAAAAACAAAACAAAAAACATGTAGCACGCACGCACACACACACACACACACACACGCACACACGCACACCCCCACACAAACACACTACAACCCACCCAAAAAATAAAATAAATAAAAACCAAAAGCAAAAAAGCAACAACAAAAACTAAAAGCAAAAAAACAAAAACAACAACAAAAACATGTAGCATAGTCATTTCTGTAAATCAACAGACTACCAAAGTAGTATGTATTCCTTATTGTTCAAACAGAACTGCTTGCGACGCTCGTATTATGGGTGAGTGACTTTGTTAGATCGAATGACAGTTTGAGGAAATAGCGAGTGAATTAATGAGTAATGTACGCCGATTTTAACATTATTCCAGCAATGCGGACACCAGAAATGGGCTTCACACACTGTGCCCATGTTTATAATCGAACCCGAATATTCGGAGTGTCGAGCGAACGCTTTAACCACTTGGCTACCCCTCTGCCCCTTGGGGAAGTACATTTTCACACGAACTCAAAATAAACACGGTGCGTTTAGTCAAGAAAGGTCATGCGATCTTCTTTGTTTGTTTGTTGTTTAGGGGCGGTGGGGTAGCCTAGTGGTTAAAGCGTTGGGTCGTCACGCCGAAGGCCCGGGTTCGAATCCCCACATGGGCACAATGTGTTTAGCCCATTTCTGGTGTCCCCCGCCGTGATGTTGCTGGAATATTGCTAAAAGCGGCGTAAAACTAAACTCAGTCAGTCAGTCAGTCAGTTTGTTGTTTAATGATGTACCCTTCAAGTTTCTGGCTATATAACTGCAGCCTGCATGTAATTAACCGATCTCGACCAGACAATCCAGTGACTGACTTACCAGCATTTATCTTCGCGTTAACAGGATGATGACGTGCATCATCTAAGTCGGCGCGTCAGTTGAATTAGTCGCCTCACACTACAAGCCCCCTTGTCGTAGATTAAATATTTCCAAGAGGGCTCAAATATGGTCTTATATTCTTTTTTCATCCCGAACTCCTTTTGACTTGGAAGTTTCGCGTTGGAATTTGTCTTCAGCGACCCGTGCTTGTCGCGAGAAGCGACTAAAGGTGCCAAGGCTAACTGACTTGTCAACATGTATCCCAACTGAGTTGATCGATGCTGATGCTGTTGATCACCAGATTTACTGGTTCAAACTCGATTATTTACAGACTGCCGGCATAAAGCTGTAATATTGCAGAATGCGGTGTTGATCAACAAACCCTCAAATCAATCGTTTACCTTACAACAATGACCTATTTGTTTGGATATGATCTTTCAGAATGAAGCTTGTCTTGGTTGGAGTATCTTTTGGCTTGGCTGTTATCGTCACGTTCAAGAACACAATGCAGCTTCCTACAGTTGTTACATGTACGATGAAAATGTGGTGTCAGATCGACTGCCAGTTTGAGGAAACCAACTAAATCAACCTTTGGACGGGATATAAATATATTATCTCAATTTAAACCAAATATAAAATAAATTATATTTATGCCTAAAAATGTCATTGGGTGTCATAACAAGCCGATGAAATCAAGTGTGTACCACTTACATCTGTTCATTTCTAATTTCATTCAGATCCTGAAGCTTTGTGGCCCCAAAACATTCATCTGTGTGGTCTTTCTCCAACGTGGCCCAAAGTTGTAGAATTTTAACGCTTCAGGCTTTGTTACGTGTTAAAACTAATACTAGTTAAATGGAGGTAGTCTTGTAGAAACTCGGTCTGAAGCCAACAAACAACAAAGAACTGCCAATTCCAACATTCACCAAGTTTACAAATCACTACAAAGGTATTACAGTGGAAGTACGAAATAAAGAAGCAGTGCAAATTCAAAGCCAGTATACAAAAGTAGTGTTTATAGCATTAAAGACTGAGATAGTAACCTTCACTTAATTGCAACAGAGATAAAGTTTCCCAAACAAGCTGATTCTCCAGGGTAAGAATGATCTCAACACAATTGCTGGTTTTCGTGTAACTTGAAATGTAAAGAAAACCTCCAAAATGATGAATTAAATGATAAAGTTAATGTTTTTGTTAAAAAAGAACAACGCTAAATAAGATCTACACTGTTTTCATTCGTCCTCATTTTGAATATGCGTGTGAATTATGGGATGGGTGTACAGCTGATCAAACTAACTCCTTAGAACGGTTACGGTTAGAAGCAGCTCGTATAGTGTCAAGGCTTCCAAAATATGCTTCTCGTGATCATTTGTATTCTGAAACTGGTTGGGAAACCCTTAGTGAACGTAGAAGAAAAAGAAAACTTTGCTTAATTTATAAGACTCTTCACAATATTGCACCATCATACCTTCAGGAATTACTACCTACATATGTTGGCCAAAAATTAACCTTCAAGCAACTCTTTAAACTTCTCCCTTCCATTTACGAGATTGAAACTTTCCTTATCATCTTTTTTTCCATTTACTATACGAATGTTGAACAAAGTTCCCATAGAAATAAGAAATACAGATTCTTTAGCAGGGTTTAAATTGAAATTCAAAATAAAATAAATGCAGCCCCACCTTTCTTTTGGTTTGGTACAAGGAAACTGAACATTATTCACACAAAACTAAGGTACAATACAAGTCCGCTGAGTTACGATTTATTCAGAATTAATTTAAGATCAGATGCTTCTTGTACTTGTGGTTGTTCTTGTGAAAATTCATGGCATTATCTTATAGAATTTTCTTTGTACACAACGCAGCGTAAAGATTTGTTTGAAAATGAAAAAAATACTGTCGTTAAACATCGCATACCCATTAATCTAGATTTATTGTTATTTGGTCATGTTACACTATCACTATATGGAAATGAATTATTATTTGACTGACTGACTGAGTTTGGTTTTACGCCGCTTTTAGCAATATTCCAGCAACATCACGGCGGGTGACACCAGAAATGGGCTTCACACATTGTATCCATGTGGGGATTCGAACCCGGGTCTTTGGCGTGACGACCCAACGATTTAACCACTAGGGTACCCCACAGCCCAATTATTATTTGAACATGTACATAGATATATTAAGCTCATTGAAAGATTTTTGTAGGTTTATTCTTGTATATACTTTTCACATCCTTCCACAAATCCCTGTTGTCAATGGTTTTTATAATGTAAATATGACATATATAACTTCTTGGAGAGGGCGTTCCTAAGTTGGATAACTTGTGCCCAATCCATTTGATTTTCGAATAAGATATGTTTAAAACAAACGAAAATATACTCAAACATTTCATTAAGAATACTGTTAGAAATTTGATAGCAACTTCATAAGTAGTTAAGTGACTCAGCAGGAGAGAAGAATAGAGCTGGAGAGTCCGGCCTATTTGCAATCTGATCCCCCGCTATGAGGTTTTCGACATATCATTTTCAAATGAAATTTGCAAATGTCTTCGGTATAACAAACAAACCTATGGTGAAGCGAGTGTGTATTGTTATGTTATACACTGAACTACCCGTCAGTCGCAAGGCGGGTTATAAATACATTAGCTGCACTAAGCCGGGTTGAACGCACAAGGACAGGACAGGCTTGAATCACGTGATATACCACAGTCAACGGGGACGCTACTGACCTGAACTGAAACTGTCTATGTTGAAGTGAAACATTGGTAAGCAGCTTTGCACTATCTGTTTTCATTTTTAAACCGACGAAACCGGCAATTTAATGACTTATGATACTTCTCAAACGTCTACAATAAAACTAGCCTGTTGGGATGTTTGAGGAAAAACCCGAACACGAACGCGGAAGTGTTCCGCCATATTGGATAGTTGGATACAAAATCACGTATCGCGAAGGCCGTTCCTGAGTCGCCTATTTCATCATGTGTATTTACATATTCAGTCACAACACACGCATCACCGGATTCCCTCATACATGATGACATTGACCTTCATTGCCAAGGGGGAATCCACCCTGAAAAACAAAGCAGATTATCCGACAAGCCCTTTTTCAACGACAGTATATGTCCTTCTAGCTCGACAAATGCAAACTTATCCATCTCATGCAACCCAGGCTAATTGTGTGAAGTATATCTCAGTTGTGTGTTTCGATAATAAATACATTTAATTTATTTATAGGTGATCTGCCAAATGACATGTCAACGCTGAAACATGTGGATTTATGGATCAATTGTGTTTTTATGCTGTAAGTAACTTTGAATGTTTAAATAGTATTACGTATTTCTTTGATGTCACCCTAAATGCAACAAGTGCGACCCACAATATATATATATATATATATATAGTCACTGGTTAGCCGGTTGATGGAAATGTCAAATTAATCACTGCATCCGCGCCCCAAAAAAACAGACAATACAACATGTACCAATATCATCATGGAAATACGTGTCAAAGCAGACTTTGCTAGATGGGATAACATTTTGGAGAAATAGCAAGTGAGTTCATGGGTATTGTTTTACTCCGAATTGAACTATATTCGAGCATTATGACAGCGGTGGACACCAGAAATGGGCTTCACACATTGTACCCAGGTTTATAATCGAACCTGGATATTCGGCGTGACGAGCGAAGCTTTAACTACTTGGCTACCCCTCTGCCCCTTGAGAAAATATAGTCCAGAAATGTCATGCGATCTTCTTTGTTTATTGTCGAATGATGTACCCTTCAAATTTCTGGCTATATAACCGCAGCCTAAATGTAATTAACCGATCTCAACCAGACATTCCAGTTAGGCTTTTGGCTTCAACATATCTGGTGAATACAAAGTTTGGGCTCTGTAATTAAGTTGGTTATTTATAAAGCCTAGTACAAAACCTATCTTGTTAAATCACTTGCACACATTGATTATTTTAAAAGCCTTAGAATGGAAAATTCTAAAGCAGTGAATCACCATGGTTGCAAGGTATGAATGGCCAATCAGAATACAGGAAGCAGCTATTTTGTGCGGTACTACAAAATGGCCGCTCTCATGGCTGTTGAATGTTTTTTGTCGCATTACTGACACTAAAATTGGTGATTTACGTCCATTTACGTATATAACATGGGCAAAAGTGAGTGAGTGTGTTGCAATATGGAAAGAACTAGATGGCATCGAAAATTCTGTAACAGTTAATACAGCTTCTTTTCGTTTACTGATAAGCCTACTGACTAGCATTGAGAGAGCTTTGAAATGAAAAGACAAGGGTTGTTTGCATAGGTAGGATAGATTCTCCTCCTAACAACTTGCTGAGTTATGCCTTGAATAGTAGATTAGGTAATGATTTATGTGGTCACTGTACATGTTTTACTGTGTTGACTATATGTTAGCTTCTTATTCATTATTTCCTTTCATCAGACAGTCTAATGTAGGAACTCTAGATAACTCGGTGTTCTCTTCACAAATAAGAGAGAGCTATATTACAACGTTTTTCTAAAAGCCTTACACTCTATATTCTTCAGTTAATCTTTTTGAGAATACTAACTTTGATACTATAAAAGCTTTTGTGCTATATCTATTTAATGTTTAAAAGCTTTTGTGTTATATCTATTTAATGTTTAATGTTTGTAAGATCAGTTTGCCCCTGGAGACATTATTTTTTAATGTATTTTGGGCCTATGGCTTTTCACTGGAAATATACTCTGGCTCTGACATTCAAATCATCAGCATAATGTGTATTAATGACTCATATGTTCCATTCTGCAGATATTTCATAACTGCAAATAATGCTTCGTGTCAGATACCTTTTGTCTGATCAAATATGTTTCTAGAAAGCTGAAACTGACAGGATGTGGGCCCGTTGTCATTCAAATTTGATAGTTTCATGTAATATGTACATGGAATGCGTTTGCATCATTACATCAATTACATTTGAGAAATTAATTCCATTGCATATATGTAATGTATGATATTGTTTATGTCAGTGATTAATATGTCTTGAACAATATTCTTTTTTAATTTTTCATTTACATGATTGGTCGTGTAGTGATCAACATCCTGATTGGTCAATATTTTATTCAAGAAATTTGAATTTTAAAAAAATATGGACTAATTATGAAATTATGAAAACATTTCTAATGTTTTTACAACATTACTATTGCGTAAGTAACATAAAAGGCTGTCACCAACAGGCCAAGGACAAGGCCGTGTAATCCGAATACGGTCAGGGGGTACTCTTCTTTCAGGAGCTGTGAATCATTAATATGCAATTAATTTTTGAAAGACAAGTTTTGATTCTTATCAAGCACATCATGGGAATAATTTTGATATATAGTCCTTGTATTCACCAAATATGTTGAAGTACACTCCTATTTCTAGAGGCCTTACAGATTTCGCCTCGTGGCCTAAGTGAGTCGATGAGTGACTGAGTTACCAGCATGTAGCTACGCGATAACGATATGATGACGTGCATCATCTAAGTCAGTGCGCCAGTTGAATTTTCCAGAAGAGTTCAAATATGATTTTATATTCTTTTATATCACATATTCCTTTTTACTTGAAGTCCGTAAAGTTCCGTCTTCAGCGACCCGTTCTTGTCGTGAGAGGCGACTAGCGGGATCGGGTGGTCAGGCTTACTGACATGTCAACATATATCGCAACTGTGTAGATCGATGCTCATGCTGTTGATCACTAGATTTTCTAGTCCAGACTCGATTATTTACGTACCGCCGCCATATAGCTGGAATATTGATGAGTGTGGTGTTAACTCTCATTAAGCCCGAGAGCCCCATCACTACTCAACACCTGGAAGCCCTCGCTGATTGCCCACTCTCTTTGCCGAGACTAATTAGTGCTAGTCACACCTGATTGCCCTGGCAGGTTTCGGGGATCACAGGAAACTGTCTAGGTCGTACAAACAAGTCCTGATTGTTTAATTGTGTCGTAAAGATATATGTTGAAAGAAATCAGGTGTGAATACATGTCGTGTATTGCAAGCTTTATGTAATTGTATTGCAAGTTTCTCTTGTAGACCTTTTGTCGGCTTGTACATTTATATTTTATCACAATATGCATACACATGTATTCTTTGTATGTTACAGATGAGACACACGTTAACAAATTCTCTCTCTAATATCATTGTATGAAGTTTAAATTTACAAAACATCTATGACAATGACATACTGTAAAGAAGAATTTACTTTCATACTTTATAATCTTCGACGAAAATAGCGGTTTTGCCGATACATTTCTAGTGTTTACGAATTATTTTAATGAAAGTACTATAACGCTAAGTCGTGACTAGCACAAAAGCACATTCATAGCATTGCACTTTTGTTTCATACAGATTTAATGCAGAAAACATACGTGACCATACAAACATACATATACAAAATGTATACTACATATTCCTTGCATAGACATAAAACAAAGAGTCACGTGATAGGGGCGTCATCAAATTTCCGAATAGAACGTTCGGTATCTCAACTGTTCAATGTAGTGGCTGGTCATATGTTATCTGCGACCAATCGTATCATGAGATAACCGTCACAGAGGAAAGGACAGGTGATGGGGCGTGGGCGAAATTTCTGAAGAGCACGTTTGGTCACTCAGCAGCTTGATAGAGATTGGTTATTGGCTATATCCTTGACCAGTCGATATGCTGGGTTTCGGCTTTATCAACTCAAGCTATCATGTAACAGTTTGTGTATTGTAAACATACACTGGTAACGTTGTATGAAATATACACATAAGACAAATAGGAGTAGATAGTCACTTTGGCGAGTTTATTTGTCCTCATTTTAGTGTTTTTCGATAAGTAAAACAATGCAATTGAAATCCAACCACTGAGTAGAGGTAGTTTTTATTTTCATATACATTTTATGCACACAACTAGTACATAAAACATAATGGTTTGCTGTACATGTAAATATAATCTTCACCTTGATACGAATGACTATCCAAACTAGAGTACACGCATTACAGAATTCACGAGGTGACACTATACTGAAGAATTATAGTGTATAAACTTGCAGTTGACACCCCCGTCCCCAATATTTATGAAGGTTGGCGTGCCTATATCTTTACTGAATGCAAACGAGGTTCATAAGATTACAGATGTGCATGCATGTATAAACATCACAGAGAGGGGCGTGACTCCATAAAGCAAGATGTCCAATGATATAACAGCGCATCTGTTTTTACACTTGTCACGGGACAAACCTTTCAACAAGGACGTAACTGCATATGCATTCTACCGGAGGCTGTTATTTCAAGGTCGAAAGAGGCGTTCAATTATCTCATTACTGTAATCTGCTTGAATGATTATACCCATGTGTATCGATACCGTAACTGATATACTATCCAGTTTTTATTGACGATGGATCAATAGAGACTGAGTTGATTGATACACGTAATAATTGCACCGGATTTGATAATTACACAGATCAAATACAAACGTTTTACAGAATGCTCATGTAAATTGCATAGAAAACTGACAATTCAAATCAACATGAAACTTTCAACAGCTTGAACAAAAATGCTTGAAATACATTTGTATGGCTTACATGTAATAACTTATGATATTACTTCTGTCCATGTGTGACAATGTTTTGAATTACCAACTTACTGTCTTTTGTAACAAACGTAGTAAAATATTTCATTGTTGTAATAACACTGACATGTATATATGTAGATTATGGGAAACAACTAGTTACTAATTTGAAGTTTACTGAATTGTAAGTTCAATTATGTTTAATCTATTCGAGCTTGGATGTATAATTACTTGTGTTTATACATTATGTTTCAGTACATGAAACATGACAACGTAATGATGCCTAAAAAGTAAATTCAAACTATTCTATTGTGTTTGAATTCTTTGTATGTCCTTGAAATTTCGTATATTGTTTCCTATTTATTAGGTAGTTGAAGGAAATATAATTTTTAGTAACCTCTAAACCATTACATCTAATTCAATCAAGGTGCATACGAAGTATTTTAGTATCCATTCCCAAGGAAGAGTACCAGGCACTTACCTCTGTAAAAACATCATAATCCCCTTTCTCGCCGACATGCGTTCATTTGCTAAACGCTGTACAAGCCTATGATAATGATTAGAAATTGTTATCAAAACACTTTAAATACTTCTTCTGATTGATACTAAAGGTGGGATCTCTCGTAAGAAAAGCTAACATTTGCTCAGTACTGCTAAATTGGTTGAAATAATAGGTACAGTGCGATTTTTAAAAGTACAACACACATGTGAGTCTCTC